CCCACAGGCCCCCAACCCACAGGCCTCACAGACCTCTTCTTTTTCTGTGCAGCGCAGGATGATGAGGAGCCCCGGAACTTGCAAGGAGGTGTGAAGCCGGTGATTTGCTTGGAGGATGCTCTCTTTGAAGCAGCTGGCACACCAGAGCCGTTTAGCCATGGCAACCTGGGCCAGGGACCTGGCCAGGGGCACCAGGGACACCAGGGACACCAGGGACAGCAGGGACAGCAGGGACACAGCTCGCATCCTTTGTCCACTGTGCCTGTGGACTTCGAGGAATGGCAGTCGGTGCGTGGGTCTTATTACTCGGACTACTCCAGGGACTACAGGGACTACTCAAGGGACTACCCAAGGGACTACCCGAGGGACTACTCGCGAGACTACGCCGAATTCAGCGACTTCTACCCTTCACAGAGAGGGCCTGGGGCCGGGGCCGGGGCCGGGGTGTCGGGTTCTGTGGGCTCCTGCCCCGTCTCCGTGGGCTCCGTAGGGTCCGGGCTCGGCCTGGGGACGTCGCCAGTGCGGCCATCGGGGCAAGCGCCGGTCCCTGTCGCAGGTGCGGGGCCTATGGGGCCTGGGCCAGTCGGCCCCGTCGGGCCCGTCGGGCCCGTCGGGCCCGTCGGGCCGGTCGGCTCCAGATCGAGCCCAGTGCCGCCGGTGCCTGTCAGCGATGCGCCCATGGTGCTTTCCAGCCCACCATCTGTGCCAGCGCCTTTTGAGCCAGCACCTGGCTCCATGGAAATGCCCAGCATCGGTTCCAAAGGTCACTATGTGGGAGACTGCAGACCTTGTGCCTTTTTGCATGCGAAAGGTTGCCACAACGGTGCCATGTGCCTCTTCTGCCACTTGTGCGACCGCGGTGAGAAGAAGAGGCGCCAGAAGGCCAAGAAGGCGTCCTTCAGAGGAGGTGCGTGAGTTGTTTGGTCGCATTGCATGGACATTTAGACTCGAGACACTTATGATGCTTATGGCACAGCCGCACATGGAGGTGTCAGAATTCAGGACCAAAAGCCAAGGAGTTCACTTGGTCACTCGAATTTGAGAGCTGACATTCCGTGCAGATATCTGCTGATGATACGCGTCAGCGCAGCATTGGCAGCTGCATTTATAGTGTGACAGCAAGGGTTGGCCGTGATGGGTCTCAATGAAGACTCAGGTCAGCAATTTTTCGACAGCTCTACAGAGCTTGTAGCCAGGCATGTTGCGTCTTGCGACGCTACTGCAAAAAGTGCAGTGTTCTGAGTATTCTTGGCTATGATTTTGCTGGCATAGTTTTTTTCACAGGCAGACGAAGGCTTTGTAAACTGGGCACTCCGGGATGAATTGAAATGACGCAGAGCTGCCAGCTGCCGTTTCGTTGCCATGTGACCAAACTCCTGCCAAGGCTGAGAACGCAGCCAAGCGAATTCGGCAGGCTGTGAAGAATGGAACGCAGCTGCCATGAGCTTATCCGTGTGCCTGCGAATGCGAGTGCTCCTGCGTGCGTGCCGGCCTGCCTGCTTTGCCTTGCTGCTTGCTCTGTTTGGCTGCCTCCCTGCCTGCTTGTGCCATTGGTTGCGTGCGAGCAGTGTATATGCAATGTGTTGTGCGAGCAGGTGTTTGCACATGCCTGCCTCTGTTGTCGCGTGCTGGCGCATGTTTGTCTGCCAGGTGTGTCGGCGTGTGTCTGCAAGGAGTGTCTTTGCATGCTCCTTTTTGCTTCAAATGTGGCGTGCCACATGCCAAGGCCTGGCAGGTAATTTGCAGTGTGTCCTCTGGTCGGGGCCTGAAATGCAGCTAGTTGCAGAGGCGCAACAGTGTTTGTGAGCTGAGAGAGTTTGACAACTAAAACATTTGTGCGTCCTCGAGGTCCTTGCTGCTGATGCTGTTTCACCTTCCAGATCCCGCACTGCCTGAGTCATGTCGAGCTTGCCTTGAGGACATATTTTTGCATTCATTTTAATGATTGATTGAGGCAGGGCTTTAGGAAATGGATATCTCACCGCTGGAGTTCGCACTCGTGCTCAGCATGGAGTGTTGCAGGCGAAACAAGCGTCCGGAGCTCCAAAGAAACATGCGCTTGCACTGCTGTCTTGTGGTGTGGCTTTCTCTGCGTGTAAGAGTGTGTGTGTGTGTTTGCGAGCAAATGTAGCCGCCTCTAACTTGGCATTTATTCCGTCGGCCTTGACATGGTACTCTTTGCTGCCAAAGCCACGCTTTGCAGAAAAGGCCCAACTGCATACTGACTGCCTGCAGCACTCTGGCTTCCGAGCATAAACTTCATCCTTTCGGCATGTCCAGGTCGTCCGCAGATTTGGCCACCTCACGCGGTGCCAAGCAGTTTGCTAGTCTGGCGATTACCATCCCTGAAGAAGTGCCGGCATCCTGGCTGCATGGTGTTCATGCTGATAACCTATGGCCCCCACTAGGTTGGAGGAACAATGTAACCCCCGATATCTGCCACATGGTTTGCTTGCAGAGAACAGTGGATCCTGTTCAATGGTAACCATCGAATTTTCTCGCATTCCCGAACCGAACGACCTCTGAACAAGGGAATATCCGTTAAGAATCTTTACAGATAGACCACCATTGCGAACCCCTGCTCCTGCAAGACAGTGAAGACACGTCACAACCACAAAATGAACGTACCCCACCAATATGTCCTGAACGAAAAGGCAACGTTGGCCCTTCCTCAATCGTCTATCCCCATGAACAAATCAATTGCATCACTGAATTTGCGGTATATTTTGTGTGTGCGCCGGAGCTTGGACCTTAGAAGCTCTCAACCTGAGGACCATAATCTCTATCCTCCTGAGGCTGTACAAGTCCGCAACACCTTCATTCATGTGGCAAGTCCTATCGCTCCTGATGATGTCCTGAGCTCCCGTCCCGCTGTGTCATGCCCAGCCTCACAGATAGGCACGCTCCACAAATCCTTCCAGGGCTTTCATGACACGACAAAGACAACGACTCCGGAGCTCGAGAAGCTGCGGCCCGTGATTTGCCTTGAGGATGCCTTGTTTGACCAACGTGAAGCCTATGATGCGTGGCAATGCCCCATCGAGCCGTTCGAACCGTTCGAACCGTTCGAAGCGTTCGAGCCTCGATTGCCAACTATCCCAGCTCCCTTTGAACCAGCGCCCGGATCAGCTGAACTCCCAAGTATTGGCTCCAGAGGCCACTACAGTGGTGAATGCAAGCCGTGCTCTTTCCTTTACGCCAAGGGCTGCAACAATGGTGCCATGTGCATGTTCTGCCATTTGTGCGATCGCAGCGAGAAGAAGAGGCGGCAGAAGGCCAAGAGAGCAGCACTCAAGGGGGGTGCCTGAGAACCTCGTACCAGCACCTTTGCCGCTTTTCAGGAATCTGCTGGTGCTCTTGACCTGAATGTACCCACGTCAGATGAGCTGATCTTACATCAGGATCCGGTCGCCTGTTGCCAAGAGTTGCACAGGCAGACCTTGTTTGGGGCCGGATCATTTTTTTCGTGACTGCCAACTCGCTGGACGATTGGCAAAGTCAACAGAGAATTCACATCCTTTGGCTGCTGCACAGAATGTATGTCAGGTTGATGGAGTGTGATTGACAATTCAAGACTGCCACAGGAAGGCTGGGAAGCCAGCAGATGTCTCAGGGACGCTTGTGCCAATGTCTTGCACTTGTACAGGTCCTGCTGGTCAAGCATTCCTGAGGTAGTTGCTGCCGGCCTGCAGTGCTGTGCATGCAGCTTACCTGGCCTCAAGTGTCAGATGCTTGATTGGACAAAATTATTCTGATCTCATGTTCATACTAATATGGACCACTGAAACAAACCCGGAGTTGCAACTACCTAGTCTGAGAGATGCGGCCACTCTCTGTTCTTGCATGTGCCCGCGACCGCCTGCTTTGCCTACCACGTGCCTCGTGTGCAGCTTTGTGGCTTATGACCCGCTTGGGTCGACTTTTGTAAGGCTTGAAGCAGCCCAGGAGAGCTTGGTGATCAAAACTGCAAGAGAGAGAGAAAGAGAGAGAGTGAATAGCAGTCTCCCATCCCGAAGTCGACAGATTGGTTTGTGCCTGAATGAGGTCAAAGTAGGTTGAGGCATTTGCAAGGAGGGGGAAATGATGTGAGATTGAAATTGATGGTCCGCGCCAGCCCCAGCCGCCACCCAGGACTAGGATGGTAGAACTACAGTAGAACCAAGATCCAGCTACAACGAGCAAACCTAGCGGAGTATGCGGCGGCGCGCGCGGATTCGACGATATTATATTCAGACAGGGAGCGTGCAGTTGTGATTTGATGAAGGGGCTGGAAGATCTTGTCATTCGTTCCTTCGCCAGCTGCGATGTATTTTCGCATGCTAGTGAATCTGTTGGAGGTCGTTGGTCAGTGAAGAAGAACAGTCTCTCAGCCAACTGGAAACAAACCCCACATCAAACCTCAACCAGCCCTAGACAAATCCAGAGTTGACTGTAAAGACACTATAAATCAATCCTCAACCACCGAAGATTCCCGAAAGCATCCTAAAACCACCCTAGACGGCCCTAGACTCTCTCCCCACCCGAAGGAAACAACCCTGAAATTGACCTCGCTCAAAACAAAATACGGCCGGGAGGATGGCGCCCATTCAGTACGAGGGTGAGGCCACGGCAATACCTCGCTGCACCTCGTTGTGAGAGCTGCAAGGATCATAGCTTAGGATGGCTTAGGATAGCTCGGGATAGCTGCGGGATGGCTTAGTATACGTTTGGGATTTTTAGAGCTGCGGCTCTGAGTCACTGCTGGATGGTTGGGGCTCTAGAAGTTTAAGCCTGCGGTTGCCACCGATGCTCCGTTCACAGGCAGGGCCTCGCACTCTGTACGACAAGATTTGGGCAGACCACTTGGTAAACGAGGCTGTGCTTTTGCCTTTGCGTGTCAACCCGTGACTGAGTGTTTGGAGCTGGAACACTCGTGTGTCGGGCTTCGCAAAAGCCCTCTGAGACAGGCGGATGGTACAAGCCTCATCTACATAGATCGGCATTTGGTCCACGAGGCCTGGATTGTAGCACTAAGAGTTGCGACAGCTTTGCGGCTCGCATAGCTTGCATAGCTTGCATAGCTTGCATAGCATGCATAGCTTGCATAGCATGCATAGCTTGCATAGCATGCATAGCTTGCATAGCATGTACAAATGAACTCGGATAGCTTTATCATGTCAGGTCACCAGCCCCCAAGCATTTGAGGGCCTGCGCTTGAGCAGTAGAGAGGCGCAGGGAGCAAAGAACCATCGAGGAGTTTGCATCACTTAACCCCAGGCTCCAAGTTGACAGGTGCGGCGCACAGACTGCACCCTGGCCACCGTTGACCACAACATTCCGACATCGAGCAGGAAAAACTTCAAGGACCTGCTACATTGGCTTGTTCCGCATTGCCACCCTGCGTGGTGGCAGTGGTGAGAGTCATTCCAGACTATTGAAGAGTCTGGTGATGTCGTAGTCGTGATGCTTTAACTCTGGGAGTGGTCTGACTTATGTTGGCATTGAGCAAAATCCGTGTTTGTATGCAATGGTACGCAAGCCGCCTGCAACTTAAGGCCCTTACATGGCGTTTTTTGCGTTGGTATGTGACCAGCATTCGCATTTTTCTGCGGCATGCTCGACAGTGTCTTTGCTACTTCGGAATGTCATAGGCTTACTTTTTTTGCATGGAGCACACCCCTTGGACCGGATCCAAGAAAATGAGGAAACTCGTCCCCAGCATGTTGTGTCTTGATCTCAGCGGTGATAGCAGTTGATGAGAAGGCTGAAATTGGGATTGAGCTTGCTGCTGAGTTGATATGCTGCGAAAAAAAGTGTGCTAGTGTATCCCTCACAAGGAACCCCCACGCATTCCCCAGCTAGAGCCCCACGCAACCATTATGATCAATAATCGATAAGCTAATTTGAACTTTACTCTAGAAACACGCCGTTGAAGAAAGGATAAGCCAGAACATGTAAGGACTGCCGCCCACCCGTTAGTTCTGCACATTGCTCTTTTTCTTCAAGCGGACCTTGTTTACCACTGTTGGATCCTAGTAAATTATTTCAATAATCAACAAGCCCACATTCTGGCCTCTATCATAATTTGTTGGGAATTTCAACCGCAGTATGCAGGCCTACTTAGGGCGGACCCGGGTGGAATCAATCCCCTAAACGACGCTAAGTTGAATCCTATATAGTATCTATTTGATAGGTGACCGGGAGAGGCTTCAAAAGCGGGAACATGACGCTACTTGTTGCAAAGCGTTTTGCCACCACAGCCGCCTGAGGGCATAGTGGCGAAAAGAATTAGGCAGTCAAGTTCTGCACGTGAGAATTTCACTCGCAGACTTAGCCAGGGGCGCTTGGAGGTTGAATTTAGGGCTAACTCGCGCTCAAATTTGCCGTGAACCAGGTCATTGGCGTCACTTGATGTTCCTATTGGAAGAAGCTGGGGGATCGGGTTTTGAGGAAGGCAGACTTCGGCTGTGTAAGGCAACTGTGCTTCATACGCCATGTCAGGCCTGATTCACTTGAGGCTACCCTATGCGCGTTGGCTGTGGAAAGTGGACTTCCAGAGGCCGCCCTTCATGCCAGCCAACCTTCCCATGCGCCTTGCCTTTTCGGAGAAGGGGTCGGCGGATTCGTCGGTTCTGTTTCACATTCAACAGTTCCTGGATTCTTTCGCTTGCTGTGTCATGGGGCTTTGGTTTTCAGCGTGGACAGGTGTTGTTGGGAATTAAGATACAGCACACTATGAGTAGTGGTCAGTACTTGTTTTGCCATTTGCCCGGCTATGATGTTTTTGATGAACACAGTAAAATAACAGTTCTTGCTGAAGGCCTGGCTATACTACCTAGCTGCGGAGCACTCAACAATGGTGCACCGTCTCTTTGAAGCTATTTGGTCGAAACTTTGAATGACGTTCATACTTTCTATTTGCTATGGTCCGGCGATTATGATGATGTTTTTTTTCTTCTTTTTTCTTCTCTTAATTATTGTTATTATTGTTATTAATATTATTATTATTATTATTATTATTATTATTATTATTATTATTATTATTATTATTATTATTATTATTATTATTATTATTATTATTATTATTATTATTATTATTATTATTATTATTATTATTATTATTATTATTATTATTGTTATTATTATTATTATTATTATTATTATTATTATTATTATTATTATTATTATTATTATTATTATTATTATTATTATTATTATTATTATTTTTAAATCCTTATTTTTTCTTCTGTTTCTGCCGTTGGACTCTTTGTTTGGCAGTTGGAGTTTTGTTTTGTTCGTTGTTGATGTTATAGAACCATTATTGATTGCACCTGGCAGTGCTCAGTCTGCCTGACGCTTGTTGAAATGCAGGACACCAAAAGTTTCATTGAGGAAGCCGATTCTCGCACCCAGGTGGGCTTGGCTTGAGTTGCCACTTCCCATATTTGATGCGAAGGTAGACTGGCAGACACGCCAAAGATCACGCTAGCTCATCTGGCTTATATCTATTGTGCGCAGCTGGACCATTTTGCTTTCCAAGCTGCTTGGTGCAGGTTGTCACCCTGGAGCAGAATGTACAAGAGTTTGGTCGGCAGCCTTACCGTGCGTGCCTCTGCCCAGATTCAGTTGGTGGATCTGAGGCCTTACATATTTCGGCATGGACAACAAGAGACAGGGTATTGTGCATGTCATTGGCCCTGAGCAGGCAGCGTGATTGAGGGTCGGAGAGCAGTCTCATCTCGTTGAAGATTTGGACAGGGCTTCACGCTGCCGGGCACGACTGTTGTCTGTAGGGCCCTTATGCTGCATCGAGTGCGCTCTGGGAATTGCCACTGTGCGAGGTGGTGATAGCCACACCTCAACTCACGGTGCATTTGGAGCTCTTGCTTTCGGTGCAGACCTCAGGAGACTCGAGGTTGAAGCAGACCATGGTCGTTGACCATTTTGAGTCAGGTATTGGAACGTCAGAGGTTGAGCATGTCCTCGCCACACAGACTCTGCTTCGGCCTTGGGCGTGGAAATCTGTCTTCAACTTGCCAACGAGCCGTCTTCAACGTGCTGCAGGTTGATGAACAAAGCAAAAAACATGTCCTGGCCTTGGGGGAAGCCACAGATCACCTCGAGCTCGACGAGCCAAGGCGAATAAAAGTGTCTGGAAAGCTTACTGAGGGAGTTACCTCCAAGGACCTGTGATCAAGACAGTTTTAGGTGCGGTGTAGAGCTTCGATGGCGGAAATCGTCTGGCCTCGGACATGTCTTGCCTCGGGTCCAGGATGTGATTTTGCATATCATTGGAATCATTGGCACTGCCGGTGGAACTGGATGCGTGATTGAGTTCTGTGCCTCGGATCACCTAGGTCGTAGTCACAAGTCGTATGCAAATGAAGCAATGCTTGGGCCAATATTGCCTCATCCCAGAATGTATACATGCTGAAAGGTGGAGACGTATTCGAGAGCATGTCCATGGAGGCTGCACATTGGAAGCATAGCATTTCTTGTGCTCTTGGCGTGGCACGCTTACTACGCCTTGACCGTTGGCATACGGGAAGGCCAGGATGTCAGTTTGCAACATGACGATCGAAGCAGGCGCCAGGCCCAGCCCCCAGACCCGCAAGATACACACAAAAACACACTGGATACACAACATTCGCGTGTGTAGCTGTGAGCAGTACAAACAGCATTCACCGTGTAATACCACTCTGCCTCTCGATATTTTGTATCATTTCCACACTTTGCAGCTTCTGCGAGAGTAAGGGCTTACACTATCTTACTGACTGCTCAAGAGTCACACTCAACCCGCCCGATGTTTTAGCTAGTTACTATGTTGCAGACAAGCCAATATTGCTGAACAATAGAGCGAGAGAGAAAGAGAGAGTGCCAGCATGCGACTTCCAGAGTTAGCCTTGCGCTTGCCACGACTCAGGGCAGGAATGGTTGCGCCTGATGATATCACATTCAACTATCTCAAGGGCAGGCAAGACTTGTACTGCAGTCATGAGTCGTTCACATTGATGCTGAAGGCCGCTTTGCCCGAAGGGAAAGGAATGGGACAAGGCCAGAACGACAGGTATCGCTTCTGCTTCCACGCAGTGAGCTCCTGGCCTTCAGGCTGTGCAGTACTGGAAAAGCCTGCGCACCGACAAGGGTGCCAAGTCCCTTTCTTTGTGCCAAGATGTCAGCAATCAAAGGGCTTGCCTAGTTTTCAAGGTTCGACAAGGACATTCACGTTGATGCTGCTGACATTGCACCAACGGCCGCTTGGTGGCAATTGATCTGTGGATCTGTGCTGTGAGCAAGCGTTGGCATGACGACAGGTCACTTGGGGCACAAGCCCAGAAGATGTCGTTCCGATCACTGGTGTGGTACCAGATCCAAAGGAGGCCAGTAGGAGATGTGAGGGTCAAATTGAAGAGCTGTGGCTCTTTTGGTTAGAAGCGTTTAGCTACTACAGGCTGTTGACATTTTGATTCTTGTGTAACATTGCGCCATTGCGTCTGGCAAGTGCAAGCAGAGGCAACAGATGAAACGAAGAGGACTTACAGAGTGCACTGCAAGAGGTTCGAAGGGCAAAGAGGGAAAGCCAACTGGCAGGACAGGAATGCAGCGAGCACTTCAGTACATGGGCGCTGCCCTTGCGCTTTCGGTTCAGAGAGCCGAAGCGAAGCCACAAGCCCAGGCCTGGAGCCTGGCACCAAGATGACCGACATTCCGGTCCAGAAGGCCAGGTTTGGATTCGGTTTGGATTCCTTCCTCACGAGGCAGCAAGTTGCCTCAGGTCTTCATTGGCTCATGTACCAACAGCAGAATTGAAGATATGCGCCAGAAGCTCAGATCCATCGAAAGGGCCCAGGCCGAGGTGACAGCTGTGCTGAGGCAGTGTGGCCACTGTGGTGAAGGGCAAGAAGGCACAAAACACGCAAGCTGTGTGCGTGTGCCGGGTAAGTCTTTGTATCATTCTTTGTGTTCTTTCTCCAGAGAGCAGATCACCGTTTATAATGGGCTGTTGTTTGAAAAAGCTGGAAGAGTGACTCCCTGATTTGCGCGGGTTTGGCTCAAGCACATAAACAGTTTGTTCAGCTGCGAGACAAGCAAAGCGCGCTGACATGCACTGTTGAGGGGAAATATTCAGCATGGCATGACCAAGGCTTCAGTTGCATTCAAAATCAAGGCGAGCTGTCAGAAGCAATCTGAGAAACCCAAAAAGTGTTTGAGAACTGTCCCAGAAGTGTTTGAGAAACATCCCAGAAGCATAGGGTGTTCTTGAAGAATCGGCAGCATCCAACATGCTATCAGGAGTCAGACACGTTTGGCAGTAAGATCAATCAGCTATTCTTGCTGGGTCTCCCGGCAATGGTGCAAAGCTTAATGCAGTTGCTTTGGCACTGCGTGGTCGCTATTTTGTCCTGTTGGTAGCACAACTCAGACCCTGAACCTGAACAGCTTCCGCTTCAAGGCGGGGGCACACAGCCTGATCTGATAGGGTCCTTGGATGCAATATGCAATATCCCTAGCATTGTTATGCAGAAAAGCAATGAGTGTATGATGTGTATTGTTCTTTTTGGTCAACTTGTGCGAGCAAATCAAATAGATTACTCTCTTGCTTCCTGGCTAACCGTCATATTTGCATCCTGAGTCATAGGCCCTAGAGCATGAATCCAGTGCTTCACCAATTGCTACAATGCAGTGTGCAAGTCTTGAATAAAACAAACAGTCCGTATCCCCCAAACAAGTGGCATTGTGTGACCCTCCAAGTCATCCTGCCTGCATGAACTCCAGGACCCTTTGGAATGGATGCACTCGTCTCAGCTTGACGAACTCGGAAGGACATAGGGAGGACACTTCCAAGATTTCAGCTGAGTGAGGCCAAATGAAGTCAGCGATTTTCTGGCATCAATTCTGCAGCGCCCCTGGGAAACCAGCGGCTACATTGCTATGAGTGTGCTTTCGGTCCGGTTACAACTATATGCCTCAGTTTGGCCGGACATGCCTGCCTCTAGATCTTGGCAAAATGAACCAAGTCCGGGGCATCCTTGCTTGGACAACTTCAGCCACACTTCTGGCTATGCAGAGCGCTTACTTGGTCATACCATCCCAGGACCAGCATCAAGCAATCTTGCTGCAGGTTCTTTGCTCCTTGGAGAGAGAGGACCTGCGCAAGCAGACCAGGAACGACGAGGACGCATGGCAGGGTTGCAAGGCAAAGCAAAGGATTGCAAGCCGGTTGAATGCAGAGATTGCATGGGACATCAGCCAGGCTGCGAACATCATTTGGATGGAGCTGGGCAGCCGCAGGAAAGGTGCCGCTCCAGCAACAAGCTCAGCACAGTACAGACAACTGCTATCAGCTGCTTCTTGCATGTAGATTTTGCCCATTGCATGACAAAGTAAAATGGTTTCGCGCGTGAAAGGGAGGCACTCAGAAGCCGAGCTTGCGGCACGCCTCGTGCTCTGAGGCGCGAACAGGTGCCAAGGCCTTTGCAAGACCATGCCTTTGTCTGATCTTTAGAATTTTAGGTCGCTCACAGGCAATGCTTTGCTGCTTTACCAGGCAATTGTGCAAAGAGGGGGTTTGGACCCACGCCCGGCACCCAGCCGCGTAAGACGACCGCTTGAAACGCCTAAGCGCAAGGCAGTACGCTCACGATCTACGTGAAGGCACCACGCCAGGTGCGTTCCACTGGGCAATGCAAGCTTCAAGCGGCACCTTCGACTTCTCTGCGTTGCAGGGAGCGGCGCTGGAGATGGAAATGGCGCACTTGGACACGGTTGCCTTTCTCAAGGCAAGTGCATCGGGCGGGCTCAGGTGCGGGAGGAGGTGGAACTTGTTTGTAGAACTGGTTTGGGAAACTGGTACTTGGACAGGCACAGATCTCGGTGCGAGAAGGCACACCTCCGGAGAGCCAGCGACTGGTGACCCGTGGTGTCACGATGCAGGACAGTGAATGTCATGCAGCCATGCCAAATGCGGGCTCACAAAACATCCGTTTGTTCATGCCTGTGTGCTTTGGAGTTTGCAATTTGTTTGTTTGCGTCAATGTATGTGTTCGTCAACGCCCGTGTTAATATCAATGTTCCTATCACTGTTTGTATTTGTGTAAGCTTGCTTGGTTGCCTGATGGTCACCAAGTAAGCGTTTTCCAAAATGGCAGCATCATATCATGGCGGTGATCTATGAGGACTCGCTAGTTAATCAAACGAAAAACACCGCCACGTATGATTACAAGCACAACAGCGCAAACGCACACGACCAACCAACAAACAAACGCCGACCGACCAACCAACCAACCAACCAACCAACCAACCAACCAACCAACCAACCAACCAACCAACCAACCAACCAACCAACCAAGCCAGCAAACAAGCAAGCAAGCAAGCAAGACAAGCAGACAAACAGCAGACGCAGCCAAACGCAAGCAAACACACACACAAGCAAATCAACAAGCAAGGCAACACACAAATACTGAAACAGGCATAGCAATCAACAGCAATCAAGCACAAGCAAGCGCAACAAGAACACATACATAGACACCTACAAACAACACAAATAGCAAGCAACACAAGACACACAAGCTAGCAAGCAGCCTAAACAAAGTATCAAACTATCAAGAAAAACAGTGATCCAAGAAAGAGCACAAGACAAACAAGAGAAAGGAAAGAACGAACGAAGAAAACGAAGGAAGAAGGAAATAAGGAAAGGAAGGAAGGAAGGAAGGAAGGAAGGAAGGAAGGAAGGAAGGAAGGAAGGAAGAAAGAAAGAAAGAAAGCAACAAATGAATAAATAAAGAGATAAATAAGGAAAGGACAAGAAAAGAAAGGGAAGAAAGGGAAAACACATGTATTTTGCAAGAAAGCAAGAAAGGAAGAAAACACAAAGGAAGTAAAGAAATCAAGAAAGAAAGAAATCCTAAAAGAAATGAGGCAACACTCACATAAAGAAAAAGAGAAAATTACCAAGAAAGCAAGAAAGCAAGAAAGCAAGAAAGAAAGAAAGCGAGAAAGCGAGAAAGCGAGAAAGCAAGAAAGCAAGAAAGCGAGAAAGCGAGAAAGCAAGAAAGAAAGAAGGAAAGACAGAACGGAATAAAAAATAAAAAGGAAAGAAAAAAAGAAAAGAAAGAAAGAAAGAAAGAAATAAATCAATACAGAAAGGAAGAAAGAAAAGAAAAGAAATAAAGAAAAGAAAGAAAGAAGGAAAGAAAGAAAGAAAGAAAGAAAGAAAGAAAGAAAGAAAGAAAGAAAGACAAAAAAACGGACATAAATGGAAGGAAGGAAGAAAGGAAGGAAGGAAGGAAAGAAGGAAAGAAGGAACCAAGGACAGAAGGACAGAAGGCCAGAAGGAAGGAAGAAATAAGGGCAGAAGAAGAAAATGAGCAAAAGAAAGAAAGAAAGAAAGAAAGAGAGAGAGAGAGAGAGAGAGAGAAAGAAAGAAAGAAAGAAAGAAAGAAAGAAAGAAAGAAAGAAAGAAAGAAAGAAAGAAAGAAAGAAAGAAAGAAAGAAACAAAGAGAGAAAGAGAGAAAGAAGGAAAGAAAGAAAGAAAAGAAATAAAGAAAGAAGGAACAAAATAAAGAAGGAAGGAAGGAAGGAAAGAAAGAAAGAAAGAAAGAAAGAAAGAAAGACAGAACGACAGATAAAAATACATAAATACACATGGAAGGATGGAAGGAAGGAAAGAAAAAAGGAAAGAAAAAAGGAAAGAAAGAAAAAAAGAAAGAAAGAAAGAAAGAAAGAAAGAAAGAAAGAAAGAAAGAAAGAAAGAAATAAAGAAAAACAACAAAGAAAGAATCAAACAAAAAGGCAGAACGCAATAAGTAAGGAAACAATCAAAATAAGTAAATGCAGAAGAAACAATCAAGGAAAGAGAGACAGAACGAAAGAAAGAGCAAAACTTTAGAGCCTCCGGCTCAGTCCGCCGACATTGTCCTCTCCTTTTTCTCCTTCTTCCTCTCTCTCTTGTCTCCTCCCCCGTGTGTTCCGTCGTCCTCTCTCTCTCCCTCTGCTCCCCATCCTCCCCATCCCCCCAATCCTCTCTCTCCTCGACCTCCCTCTCTGTGTCTCTCTCTCTATCTCTCTCTCTCTCTCTCTATGTTTCTTTTTCTCTTTCTGTCTCCCTGTCTCCTTCCTGTGCACGCCTCTCTACAGAAAGAAACGTACCCTTGTTCTAACCTCTCTGCTGGAGGACCTAGACCTAGTCTTTCTCTCTTTTTTTTTTCTCTCTCTCTCTCTCTCTGTCTCTGTCTCCCTCTCTCTCTGTCTTTCTGTGTTTCTCTCTCTCTCTCTCTGTCTCTCTCTCTCTGTCTCCTTTTCTCTGTCTTTCTTTGTCTCTGTCTCTCTCTCTCTCTCTCTCTCTTTCCCGCTCTCTCTCTCTCTCTCTCTGTCTCTCTCTCTCTCTCTCTGTGTCTCTCTCTCTCTCTCTCTGTCTCTCTCTCTCTCTCTCTCTCTCTGTCTCTCTCTCTCTCTGCATTGCAGCGTCTCGTTTTTTCTGAGTTGCCTCGATGTCCGGGCACTGCCCCTTCATGACCCTGAGCTGTCTGCTTACTACTGGAATCCCTTCAGGTCCTTTTCACGTTTCCCATGATGTGCTGGTCATGTCCCTTCCATTCCTTTCAACTCCCCCTTCATGTCCCCTGTCATTTTCTCGGTATGTCCGCTTCAATTTCTATGTATGTCCCGTTCTTTCGTTGTCAGTCATGTCCCTACATCTCCCGTCGTGTCGATTGGTTTCCTTGTCCTTTGTTTTCCATTTATTCCCCCTGCACTCCCCTTGTTTTCATTTCTGTCCCTTTCATGTCCCTTTCAGTTCCCCTTTGTTTCCCTTTCATGTCCCCTTGCTTTCCTGTCATGTCGACTTCCTATTTCCTCCCCTCATTTCCTTGCACTGGCTTGCATTTCCCCACCAGCAAAGAGCTGGCAGGGGGATTCGAGCCTGGGACCGCTGTTTTGCGACACCCCGTAGACTACGTTTAGTGGAACGTCGTCAAATTACCGCGCGGGTACGTGGGGGAGGAAGAAGCAACGAGCGAAATAGAGCAAGAAAGACATGAAGGAAGAACACCAGGAAGAAAGAAAGAAACAGCGCCGAGAAAACACCAGGAAGAAATGCAAAAGTTACAGCCGCAAGAAAGACATACAGAAGCATATTAAAAAAGACAGATAAACCGAAAGAAATGAAGACGGAACACAATAACAAGTTCAAAGCGAAACTCACAAAGAAAGCAATGGCAACTTAAGAGCACAAAACTGAATGTCTAGATAAACAGAGAAAGAAAGAGCGAACAGCATAATTAAATTAAGAAGGACAGAGAGAAATCAAACAATAAAGAAAGACATAAGTTCATACATGAACCACATAAAAGAGAATAACCGATGCGAAAGAACAAGAGAAAGCAAGACACCAGGAAAGAAGGAAAGGAGGAAATAAGAAAGAAGGAAAGAAGGAAGGAATAAAAGAAGGAAAGAAGGAAACAAGGACAGAAGGACTGAAGGCCAGAAGGAAGAAAGAAATAAGGGCAGAAGAAAGACAGAACGGACGAAGAAAAGAAAGAAAGAAAGAAAGAAAGAAAGAAAGCAAGAAAAACTGAAATACATATATAAATAAATAAATATGGAAGGAAGGAAGGAAGGAAGGAAAGGAAAAAAGGAAAAACGAAAAAGGAAAGAAGGAAAGAAAGAAAGAAAAATAAAGAAAATACATAAATAAATAAAGAAAGAGCGAACAAAAAGAAAGGAAGGAAAGAACGAAATACATAAAGAAAGAAAAATATCGGAATAAATACTGAAGGAAAAAGGAAAAGATAGAAACATATGTAAAGAAAGACAGGCAGAGATAATAAATAAGAAAGACACGACACACAGAGAGACATAAACATAACGCTATAAGCAAATGAATACGTAGTGAACAAGATTCACAGCAATAATGAAGGAAACGACAGAAAGAAAGAAGAACAAGAAAGAAAAGAAAAGAAAAAAAGGAAAGAAAGAAAGAAAAGAAAGAAAGAAAGAAAGGAAGAAAGAAAGAAAGACAAAAATACGGACATAAATGGAAGGAAGGAAGGAAGAAAGAAAGAGCAGGAACTAAAGGCATGAAAGAAAGAGCGAAAGAAGGACAAACATAAACGAGAAATACTGGAAGAGCGAGAGAGAGAAAAGAAAACAAGAGATACATAGTTTTTCTTAGCACAAAGGCAACGCAAGCAATCAACCAACCAACTAGCGAAACAAACCAACAAACGGGCAAGCAAATGAGCAAGCAAGCAAAACCAAGAACGCACACATTTACACCAACACAACCACACAAACACACAAACACATAGACGCACCCAGACATAAACAACCGAGCAAGCAAGCAGCATTTCAACATATGGACGCATAAAGTTCAAGACAAATGTGCGCGCAAACAGACACGACTAAGCAGCCACGCAACCACACAACATGCACACCCGCAAATATGCAATTCCACAAGCAGATCATGCTTGTCCTTTTTGAACAAGGTCTCCGCTGTTCAAGTGTGATCAAACATGTGCGCGCGTGCTTGAAGCTTTCTTATTGGGAAGAATGAAGAACGACTGAAAGCTGATTGCAGGACGATCGGACACTGACCACATATGGGCGAGGGAGCCTGTTCGCTTGCTGACAGTTACACCTCTTTCATTTGGGCGAGAAAGCTGCCTAGTTGGCTGTACTGGCAGAGAAGTGCCCAAGGCTTCAGTGTGGAGACTCTATTCTCCTGATCCCGACTCTGCAAGATCAGGCCGTGTGAGAGCCCACAACCGAACAGAATCATGGAGACCTGTGAAAGTGCTATTGACATGTTGATTGCTGTCAATGTCCTTCTCATAGTCATGCTAGCCATTGAAAGGTGCCGCAACGACGGGCTTGTTTTGCTCCTCGTGGCTTGCTGGCGCTTCCTGGTAGCAAGGCCTGGTCCCTGGTGGGAAGTGCTGCACAGCGGAACCCTCGAAAGTGTAGACTCTGTCTCGCTCTCTCTCTCTCTCTCTCTCTCTCTCTCTCTCTCTCTCTCTTGCAACGTTGGATGTTCTCTTGTACGAGTGCGGGTCATTCTTTGAGCTTGTGTGCCTAGCGCATGGAGGTTTGGACACCGTCATCCACTAGCCCATTTCTGCCAGTTCTTTTCAGCGATGCCTTGAGCTGAGTATGCCGAGTTTCTAGTTTTGGTTGCAAGTGCCCCGAGGTCTCGCGCAAGTTTCCCATTAGTATGGAGTTCTCCACGCCGGCAGACTGCGAGGTTAGCAGTTTGCATTTCCAAAGGATCATCCTAGACATTCCTGACATCCATGTCCAAGCGTGAGAGGCTTTTGCAGAAGCCGCCCGATATGCGCTGGCCCCAGTTGATGTTAGAGATGCTTTGCAATCACAGGGAAACTCTGAGGCACCTCCCTGGTTGGAGATACTGTCGGTGTCTCAAAATTTTCAAGTGGCACAGAGTCTGACCAAGTCTCCCTCCGCTCTCCGCTCTCCGCTCTGCACTGTGCTGGATGCAGGCCGGGTGCACCAGGACGACCACCCGCAGATGTCGCAAGCCCGAGGGAGGGGGGAGTCTGAACATTTTTGTCGCCCAAGTTTGTCCCAATAGGATTAAGGGCGAACAGTTGCACCGATTTCCTGCTTTAACCTGAGATGTACATTTGTTGGGCATTGCTGTTATGTCGCTTGAGAAGTGCAACACGCAGGTGCATTTTGGTATGTTGCTCAGGTCTTTTACGTATGAGGATTGGGGTATTCACAGGAGCAACGGGCATGCACAAGTTTCAAATTCCTTCAAACACATTCAACTTGTTGGAATTGTATTGAATGTCCGCCAATGATTCTCAGGTGTCACTCGCCACCAACAAACCAACCCAGAGAACCAACTAACACAACTTTATAACCATTTCTTTTGTTTCTTGAACATTATTTGTGGACTTTTTGCTGTTTTGGAATTTGTCTTGCTATGTCTTGCTGAATGCTTGTCTTGCTATCTCTAGGGGTTTGTTCAAGCTCCGGACATTCGCCTAGCTACTGTCCTCGAACATTTGACATAGTTGGGGTTGTGGGCAAAGGAACGTCGGGAAGAACACGAATGATGTGGCCCAGGAGCTGGCAGCCACAGTTCAACGGTTAGACCCGAAGAGAAAATACTCTTTTGCCAGGAATGCTTCGGAAAGAAACGGAAGGACTTGCAATGCTTTAAAAGGATTTGGAACACAAAAGACAGTTTGTGAATGACTAGGAATATGCCTGAATGATTTGGCATGCAGCAGTTTGTCTGGGAATGAATGATAAGGTCAAGTGCAGGCTGGATCCTGATCACGGGGCAGTGTGTCTCGAGGCACGAGTGGGCGGTAGTGCCAAATGATGCAACAGCATGGGACGGATGCAATCCGCGAGGCAACCGGCAGAGGAGACTTTGAACCAAGCTCACAATACCCGGCCGGGCCCAGCCGAGTCGCCCGTGAAGGCTGTTTTCAGCGCTTTGCATCCAGGCCGTTGCTCACTTCGGAGGTCGAGGTGGTCAAGTCCAGGCTTGGAACTGCAGCTGGTTTGGCTTCCACGCTAGTGGCTGGTCGTTGAATGCAGATGTATATATATATATATATTATATTCACATAATCAATACACATGGTGGATGCTGTGATATTGCGCAGTGCCTGATAAAACACAAACTCTCGTGCGCAGGTTAGCTTGGTGACGGGGTCTGCGGTGTCAGTCTGATTCGATGCAGTTCAGAGGACTGTATGCTTGGTGCTGCATTTTTTGGCAAAGTTTGTTGGGAGATGGGTCCTTTGAAAGTCTGATGCAGTTGCTGCGTTCAGAAATGTGGAATCATTTGCGAGATAATCCCAAGATATTTGCACGCTGTGCCGGTTCTTCGCATCAGGTTTAATCTGCACACGGTCACCTTGACTCGTTTGCCTTCTTTTGCCAGAGTGCGCGGCTGCAGGAGCGGACCATGATGACTTTAATGACACGTTTCACTGCACAATGGATTCATACCAAGCTGCAAACGCAGAGGTTAGTATGCCCTGGCAACCACTTGCTTGGCCTTCCAGATCGGACTTTTGCACATGTTTGCTTGCAATTGTGGTCGCCAGGCATGAGTAGGCAGTGCGTTATTTCAGCATTCTGGAGTCTAGGGAGCTAGACAACTGGCAAAGGCCTGGTTGACCATGGAGCAAATAATGCTCCAACAAGGTATGGCCTGAGCTCGTGTAGAACAATGGCTTTCCAAAAGGATGTCGACCAACTTTGCAACACTGTAGAGTGTTGAGGCAGAAGTTGCCAGAGCTGCAGGTGGCTGCTGGCGTGGATGCCATGATCGTGCCTGGCTCTGGCTTGGTGCTCCCCTCAAGCGAGATCACTCGAGTTTCGTGTCAAGTGACCATGGGGAGCAAATAGGAAAAGAATCAACCAGAGGGCGAGAAGGGGCAAGGGGTAGCAAAAGGTAGCAAAGGGTAGCAAAGGGTAGCAAAGTGAGTCAAAGTGAGTCAAAAATGTCGAGTGTGTCCAGTGAGGTGAAGCAGCAGGCGGAGGCTGAGGGCCTGGACAAGATCTTTACCGAGGCACGGGCCCCCTCGCAAGGCAACGGATGCCTGCTCTGCTGAGGCTGGTTTCGACTGGAGGGAGCCTGGCTGCTCCATGTGCCTCGGGATGAACCCCGACCGCCTCAAGCCCCAGGAGCTACGAATGCTAGGAATGCTTAGGTGTCCGAAATGGTTTCATGCCTGGGTGCTTCCATGCTCATGCGGCAGGAGCGCTGCGCAGCAACGTCCAACCGCAACTTTGAGGGACGACAGGTGCGCGTTTGTCTGGGTTGGGTGACCAGATGTGGGTGGTTGTGCCTGAGCTCGCATCTTGGCAATTGACACAATTGACACTTGCAGGGGCCGCAGGGCCGAACTCACCTGATGAGCTGCTCGCTCAGATGCCTTGCCTGCATTGTTGAGCCAACGTGATCAGAGGCCCTGCAATGGCAGCTGCAGCTGCTGTCACGGGGAAGCTCCAGGCGCAACACGGCGCAACACGGCGCAACACGGCGCAACACGGCGCAACATGTGTAACTCGATAAACCTGAAAGAATCAGCTGGCAACTCTCCCCTGCAGGATGTGCGAGAACTGACTTCTGCACAGGCCAAGGACTTGATGTGAGCTATCCTTTCCAATCCTCAGCTCCCCGCCGCAGTAGCCACCTGTAGCTACCGCCAACAGTGACTGGGGGAGAATGTCCGTGTTTGTTGATGTACTGCTGTGAGGTCTGTAGGTAGATCCAAATTGATTGGCAAGCTAGAGATCCAGTCTGTCCCGAATGGGGAACAAACAGAGGCATGCTGAACAGGCTATCCATGTTGTGTTTCACAAGAAGCTTGACTGTTTCTGAGATGTAGGCCTGTTAGTCAGCTCGGGCACGCGACCCGGAGGATTCTGGAAGCAAAGTCCCGGAACCAACCAAGACGATGGACTGTGATGCCGAGTCGCATTCGATTTGACCATGGCACTTGGCCACTTGTCCGACCGCAGGATTTCTACTCCGAACCTGTGGATTGGACTGCCCCCAAGGACTGCACGTATCAATATCAATACAGATATGTTTCATATGTTGCATATCAAGCAGTTATTCCGCTGGAAGACTGTAGCTGAGCAAAAGGACGCAGTGGCCGAGACTAGCGCTGGCCTTTGACCACAAAGCAATTTGCACATGCGGAACACAACATTACGAAGGAGATGTGAAACATGATCCCGAGCTGATTGAGGTGTCACAACTTCAACAAGTGCTGGAATGCCAAAGTTCACAAGGCTTTCATAGGATGACCTTCGCAGACTTGCGCAGAATTCACCTGCCAGCCTTGACGACGTGGTGGCCTGCCCGCTGAGAAAAGCGAATGCTGGACGCCAAGCTGTGACGGCGCTGATTTCCAGCCGCGAGCTGGCGAGCGCCGAGCACCGCAGGTGGACACCGACTGCATCATTCCGAAGCAATTCCTGCAGCTTGCCCGCAGAGAGCATGCACCAGATAGCCATGACGGCTTTCGTCTTTTGCTGACGCGCTGAACTTGGCGAACGCAGGAAAACTATTCAGAGAACTGGGCAGGCACCCAAGATGATCCAAGATCTCCACATCACGCCTTCAATGATCTTTGCAGTGACTTGTGCTGCCCGAGGTTGGGCAAAGCTGCATTCTTCGAACTGCGCTATGAGGACCAACCAAGTACATCAAGCACGCTCTTGGCGATCATTTCTTCGGAAATCCAGGATGACGGGGTCACAGAGCGCAAGGACTTCATTCTGAATCAGGTCTGGATCGCATCATTGATTCATGTTCAGAATGTCATTTTGCAAATCTAAAGCACGGAGCCAGATGAAGGAGCCATATCGCACAGCATCGGTGATGATAGCTGGCGACAATTTTGGCCGCTGTCCTGGAGCGGTTTGCACTTGTGCACAATTGCAATTGACTGACGACACCAAGCACTGTTTCACTCTTCGCAAAAAGCAGGCAATGCATTCCCAGGCTGCGGCTCCTCACGAGAACATGCGTCCAATCCTCAGACACGCTTTTGCTTGCCCAATGGCGAGCATATTTGATCATGGAGGTTACTAGTACGCCCAATTGGAGAAAAAGAAGGAGAATAAGAAGAAGACAAGAAGAAGAATAAGATAAATAAGAAGAAGAAGAAGAACAAGCAGACAAGGAAGAAGCAGCAGCAGACGAAGAAAAAGAAGAAGAAGAGGAATGGTCGGGAACAAGTGGCTTCTTGCTCAACTACCCTGTCAGGGACTCGTGCAAATAAATGAAGGCAACACATCTACTCTTGTTTGATCACACTGGACAGTTACTCCTCATCACTTTGCCGATACTTTGGGTGTCTTTTGCCGAGGCAACTAGCACAAGCGGTCCTAGAAAAAAAGGTAACTGCAGACCCTATCCAAAGCAAGCCAACGGAGCTTGCTTCGCGCAAAACTGTTGGGCCCTCTTACTTCTAGTTCTCACCAACAAGTCAGTGTGCATCACCATTGGCCTCGCTGACCACACGTCGGTCGAGTTGAAAGCTCGCTGACAATTAAATTTGGGCGCTCTATTATTTAGGGAGCTTTTATCCCCCGCAAGCAAAGCAAAGCAAAGCAAAGAAGCCAAGCAAGCACGCACCCTAAACCCTCTCTAAACGCACCCTTTCTCCATAAACCCACACGAATCCCACCCTGAACCAACCGTAACCCCGCCCCGCCCCTCCCCCGAACGCACCCTAAACCCTCAACCCACCCCAAACCCGCACGAAACCCAGACCGAAACCCACCCTAAACCCACCTGCTGAACCCAACACCACCCTAAAACCAAAGGCAACCCTAAACACAACCGACCCTAAACCGCACCCTAAGCAAACACCCTAAGATGGAACCGGGAAGCCAATCCCACAAACGTGGGACAAACGAACCTGACACAATTAGAACCGGACTCTCATGACTTTGAAATTTGGGCTGCCTTTCATATTTGACTTCGCCGTGCTCAGCTGACATCTTTCTATCTTGAACTGGGACATGCAATTTGACTCTTGTGTATCAATTTGCCCCGTACACTTGAGCTCACTTGAGGCCTTGGGCGCTGAACGACCAGGGCATCCGGTGTATCATCGCACCCAGTTTTGCAGACATTTTCTTCAACAAGCCTTCCCGGCAAAGTTCTCAATGTGAGTCTAGTGGCAATGTATTCGTGCCAGTTGCTTCAAGAATGGCATGCTGCCCATCGCGGTCACAAAGGAGCGTGTGACACCTGAACCCGGCGTGACCCTTGGACCTTGAAAGGACATTGTGGAGGAGCTATGGGTCCACGCAGAGGCCACTTTACTAGCTTGTGCGCTGTGACTGCTTGCCACAAATGCCAAGGCGAAGAAAAAAGTGACTGTGGACCTGCTAACGCAAGAGATTAGAAGAGAGGGCTGCGAGGCTGGTTTGTGCATCTAGTCCCACATTCAGGGCCGTACCATTGGCGTTGTGAGTGCATCATGCTCCCAGGCAGTAAAGTTTGATGTTGATCCATTCCGAAAGAGTCCGCCTTAATTTGTCGTCAGAGTGTGTAAGGATCCTGGACCCAACCTTGCAACGTTCATCCTGAGGCACTGTCTCCTGAATGGCTTGGATGATATTGGTCAAGAGCTGAGAGCACACACTAGTTTCGCTTGGCACACTATGGCGGACCACATGTGCTGGAACTCAGGCTAGGCTGTAGTCAACTTGGTTACAAATCTGGGATGAGACAAGGCCTTACTCTGCAGAAGGCCGAGCACATCGACAACTTTGAGGCTTGCCGCTGCCTGCAAGTGTCAATGAAGCCAGCTTCGTTGGAGGCCAGGAGAAGCTCTATGTTCCCTTGGCTTGTTTTGGACTCAGAGTTTTTAAAGAACACACTGAGCAGCCAAGCAGTGTTCTATAATGCAGCTTCTGTTGTTGAGCACTTCTTTTCCACTAGACCTGGTAGACCCGCCTACTGCTAAGGATGGTCCTAGATACAGCAGGCTCAAAGCGGAAGTTCGCATCAGTACAGCCAAGGCTCGATTGCCCTTGTGAGCGCAAACCGATTTTCTATTTCCGTTCTGCAGTCCTCCACCTTCTACACTCGCATCGCAAAGGGCTTTTTGGCCGGTGCCCGAGTCAAAGGCACGAGCCACTGCGCATGCCCCTGGTCACACTCTCGCAGCGTGCACACCAGAATCAATCAATAATGGTGCCTTCCTGCAAGTTCTCCGTGACAGATGTTGATGCAGAGTCAAGTGGGCAAGAGCCAGCAAGTTCACAGCGACATGCCTTCCTATGGCAATGAATTTGTGAAGGGCTCATTTGATATTAGATATCTTAAATATCTTAGATACATGAACCATGGCTTCCGGCTTGTCAGTGCAAAGCAGGCCAGGGAAGCGGCAGCAACTTTCACCCTAGGCCGGGCTGCCAGCTTCTGACGAGCGCCCTGAGCGACCTCCAGCTGCACAGGCACTGAAGTAGCAATGGCCGCAATCAAGGCAATCAATGTGAATTAAGAGCATAGTGTACATTGCCGAATTCCTGAAGAACACAACACCCATATGGATATCTAGAGATGTAAATACAATATAATATATGAACACACATATATACAGCAGTCGAAAAACAAGCAAGCAGCATGATCATGTGATGGCAGGAAGCATAGTGGTGAGATCACTTCGACTGCGGTATAGCTTTTGCAGCTTGAACCTGTCAGCTCATTCTGTCCGCGACGGGCAATGCCATCGAGCGAGCAGTGCGAGTCGCACAAGATCTCGAGGCACCGCGCAGCATCCACTCAAGCCCGTGTTGAATGTTGCTCGAAGACGCCCTGCCTCTGACAGGGCTGACTAAGATCTTGTACCCATAGTTGCTATCCCGGTTGTGCTTCCAGATGTCGGTCGCGTCGGTTTTGAGAACACGATTTTGCATGCTCGCATCTCATCAGGAAGAGGATGAAGCTGATATGATGAGGATCCGGACACAGATGGTCAGCTGCCTTGCAAGCTGTGGAGAAGCGTCGATAGTTTTTGGCGTACACTCGCAAATGACATATAGCACGCCGCCTGCTGCTTCCTGCAGCAAAAAATACATGCTGAGGTTGACGGATCGAACAGAGGCAGCGGTTCACAAGTACCTCAGGCGGGCTCTTTAGCTTCGTAGCTGATGCGCGGATGGATGCTCCCTGTGATTCACGCTGCCAATGCGCCAGATCCTTATTACTATGAAGGCGCGGCCGTTCCAGCCTTACTGCCCTGCAGTGCAGCCCAAGGAGCCGCTCGCAGTTGTACTGTGCTAAGGAAGGCGCGAGCAGTAATAGTTCCGAGCTCTACTGAAAAGGGAGGCAGGATGGCGAGTGTTGGCGCTTGTTTTGCAGCGATTTCATTTGTTTGAGCGGAACAAGTTGACATGGGATCGTGGTACTGGCTGCACACAGGCCGCAATGGCAAGACTACCGGCACCGACTGGTAGTCCAGGTGTTGGCCCTACAGCAACCTCCTACCCTCTTCTTGACACATTCCAATACGCGGATTTGTCAACCAAGGCAATGACAGAGTGGATTTGCGCCTTTGAAGGCTTCGCTGGTCTGACTCTGATCCCGCGATTTGGACCCCTCTGACACAGCATCAGGCATCAGGCATTCTACATCAGAGGGTCCCACTCGCTTATCACTTCACACACACTTGGCTTGGCAATGCGTTGCAATGCTGTGCGGCTTTTCACCAAGTGAATCGATTTTCCGGATGTCCTGGTAGGGCAGTCAGGGATATGTGGGCAGCGAACGGAGTAGCTGTCGGAGGCAAGCAAAGCCATCGTGAGTGTGTGCAGCCTGCACACAAAGCGAAGCCAAAATATAGTGGTGAACCCCAATCAAGGTCGTGTGTGCTTCATGAGCTTGCTAGGTTGAACAGGCTTGAATTGTCCCGTCTTGTGCCTGCCACTAGGACTTATTTGCTTCATTCCATTGTCTTGCCTGTTTTGGATCAAGGTGTGGAATTTAGAATGCACGGATAGCTGTGGTGTCACCCAATGCTAGACTCCATCGTGCGCCGATTGAGCGGCCATTGTGCAAACTGAATCAAACATTTTACTCGAGTCGAGATCAGTGTATAAGCTTGCCGAGTGCAAATATGGCTTCATGCCTATGTTTGCTAGCATGTACGCACGTATTTTTCCACTTGTTTGCAATCAGCGTGCATGTTGATCACCTTTAGCCAGAGGTAGGCCATAGTCCAAAGGTTGCATCCAGACCAGGCGCATGCTTGGTGCTTTTGGAGACACCACTCATGGCAGTGCCTTCCCCCAGGACTGGCACAAATGGATAAGGATGAGATCCATCACAAGATGAGTAAAAAGGCTCAGAGACGTTCAGCGTTTCGGGCTTTCTCCTGATTTGCGAGGTTGCTCAGCTGACGAAGGTCATTTTCCATCTGAATACGAGGAATGACGAGGCGAACAAAACACTAGCCACTGACTGACGCCAATCATTGCCTTGGCAGCATGCTGCGCTGCCGCGGAACTGACAGGCGGATCAGCACCTGGTGGCTGTCACCCAGGCATGGCCATACGTCTACCCCACTCGGTCTAAATTGACCTCAGGTGCTTGAGTTGGTACAACTTTTTGGACTTGGGCCATGAGCCAAATGATTATGGCAACATTTCTCTTCCTGAAGTGACGATTGCTGCAAGGGTAATTTGCCATTGACGCCTCTTTTGAAATGTGCCTTGTTCCTGCTCTTCACTCGAATGCACAATCGCAGACGTTTGCAATGAGGCAAAGCATTGCAACGGTTTTGCTTTAGGCCGAAAGGCCCATTGCCTTCAAGAGCTTTTATGGCTTTTGCAACCATCAGAAGTTCTCCATGAGGCCTACGAGACGGAGGTGCAACAGATCCTCAAAGATGCCAATGCGAAGCTTCGAAAACTCAGCGAGGTAGCACAATCGTGCCGAGACAATGCATTGCGCACCATGCGCACCATGCGCACCATGTGCACAATGCCACAGCGTGTGCAGCATTCTTTGCGTTTTTGCGTATGATCCCTGAGCGGTGTGCGGGTCAGGCTGTGGAGCCGGAGACCAAGACTCCCTAGCTGTCCTTCGAATGACACGACTAGTCATGGAAAGACTTGCGGTGTGCAAAGCAAGCTACCTCAGCAAGGCAGATCTGTCAGGAAAGACACACCACACACACACAGACACACACACACACACACACACACACACACACACACACACACACACACACACACACACACACACACACACACACACACACACACACACACACACACACACACACACACACACACACACACACACACACACACACACACACACACACACACACACACACACACACACACACACACACACACACACACACACACACACACACACACACACACACACACACACACACACACACACACACACACACACACACACACACACACACACACACACACACACACACACACACACACACACACACACACACACACACACACACACACACACACACACACACACACACACACACACACACACACACACACACACACACACACACACACACACACACACACACACACACACACACACACACACACACACACACACACACACACACACACACACACACACACACACACACACACACACACACACACACACACACACACACACACACACACACACACACACACACACACACACACACACACACACACACACACACACACACACACACACACACACACACACACACACACACACACACACACACACACACACACACACACACACACACACACACACACACACACACACACACACACACACACACACACACACACACACACACACACACACACACACACACACACACACACACACACACACACACACACACACACACACACACACACACACACACACACACACACACACACACACACACACACACACACACACACACACCACACACACACACACACACACACACACACACACACACACACACACACACACACACACACACACACACACACACACACACACACACACACACACACACACACACACACACACACACTGGGAATGCCACGTCGGCAGTCAAACACCAAACGTTCAAACACGTAAACATGAGATGAAATGTTGCAAGTTAGCACTGAACCGTGCAAAGTCAGTGGCCTTAAGGGCGATTGTTAGGGGTGAGCCCTCCAGCTGCCCGCGACGGGACCCAGGAGCAGCTCTCAGGCAGGTACGTTTCACGAAAAGTATGTGGGGTCTTCGTTGGCAGCCGCCCACATACTCTTCCGGCTGCCCCCTGCCGGCATGCACGAATTGCACGGATTTGACAAATCGGGGTACATACACGAACGTAGCTGAAAGCTTCTTGGTCTGGGGCAACCGCCGCAAACCTCTGTGCGTCAGGCGAATGCGTCCACTGATGTCCGCTGTGAACCGATAGGTCAGTAACGCCGTTCACGACAAACGTAGCTGAAAGCCACCTGGTCTGGGGCAACCGCCGCAAACCCGTTCACTGCTGGCGTGCATGAATTCCACGGATTTTGACAAACCTGGTTCTGCAGGTGGTTTGTACTGCGGATGCCACAGTGGGCAGATCGGGCTCTTCGAATTTGGGCGAGGGCTGATCGAATTTCAGCGAGGGTTCATCTCGAGAACGGGTTGTTAAAACATTTGGTCCAGCACGGCAATGTTTGCGGAGGCGGCGTCTCGAATTAGGCTGAGCTGCTGGCAGAGTTGCAGCAAACCCGTCTCAGATGTATTAACTTGGCGGTCGGAATAGGTTGTGAAACACGCAAGTCTTCGGGAGCTAGTTTGGAAATCTGTGTGAAAATGTCGGTCAGCATGTCGGAGTGTGTGTCGAATATGCGCAGGGGATCCATCGCGGTCTGTACACGAAGAGGGCGACGAACCTGTGAGCTACCATGGCTAAGCACCGTGTGAGAAACCATGTTGCGCGTGCAACTCAAAGAGTGCGAACAACAAAAGTGCAAATGAACAAAACGGTTCAAGGCTCGCACTGTTTTCGTCCATCCAGAAGTCAACATCTAGGGAGAAAAGCAAAATAACCAAAGGCATGTTGGCGCTCATCACTGCAGAACCCGATGGTTCGCGTCAAGCGAAGGTTAGAGCGTATGCCACCAAAATGCAGCGATACAGCTCATGATCCTTCATGTTCACTGCACGGGATACCGGCAATCCGAATTCCGCGGCGCGGTCTTTGAGGTTTGACCTCTGTTCCGGGCTTAAATCCTTGGCGGAATCGGCAGAGCAGGTCATGGCATCTTTGAACGCCGAGGCGACACCATCCGGAAGGCGTAGGTTCTTAAGCCACTTGGTGACGACCGCGGGGGTGTGACCATTGGGGGCCGACTGGTGCAATGTGCGGTTTGCCACAACATAGTCCATGTGGAACGGACGTTGGGAGTCAAAACCATCAAGGTCGGAGACAACCGCCGCAGGGGCACCCTCAACAGTTCGAGCGGTGGTCCCAAGACTTGTCAGACGAGACGGGCTTACTCCAGCTCATTGGGTCAATCAACAACGGGCCGTTCCGGGGGAATCAAAACAGCTGCAAGGGATCAAGCAGTGTTCAATTCGGTCCAAGAGGTAATGCGAGAAAGGTCATCAAAAGGTAATGACAATGCACGGTTGAGAAGCGGACTTTTTTCGAGATGCGAAGTCAAGTGGGGTGAGACTTGTCTGAGCCGGATTCGCACTCAAAACCGCACCTTGATTGGGAATAACAGATTTAACAAGTGGGCCCTCACCCGGCGAGGATGTCCAGCACTTCGGGGCCTGTCGCCTGTCCCCAGGATCCCCACTGCTGATCCTCCTTTACTGTAACGACAAATAAATCTGTCAAGCAAGCTGCCGACTCCCTAATACACCATCGCTTGTCTTTACTAGCGGAGTGGACAATCTCGTACCTTCGTGCGAGTTCTTGTTCCCGCCACGTGTCCGCAGACGTGGGCTTAGTGGATTTCCCTCGGCACCCGCCAGAAAAAACTAGGCCGCTCGCGTTCTTGGTATGATATGCGCATTGCCCAGCAAATGCAGCCAATTCGGCCGCGGTACCGCCCGCAAGGTGGGCCCTCGCAAAAAAGCCATAGCAGTCATGAGTGTCAGGCATGTTGAGTCCTTCACGTGTGCTCCTCATGACTTTGCCCGTTTTCAAAATTCCGATAGCCGACAAAAGGGTGGTGCCATGGTACCAGCGAACGTGAGTGTCGCCCGTGGCTTGAATGGACACAGGACCTGGCATGTCACTGAATGACAGTCTCCAAATGATGGTCTCTTCGGAATCAATCCAAGCAGGAATTGGTGTGCGGATGCGGCGTTGGTAATCAATACCGCTGGCGGTCAGTGCGATCACTAAATTCTGCATGACCGCGGGGGACTGCGGGAACTCCGTAAGGGTGAAGTCCAAATGACACATCACCCAATTTAAACATTCGACAAATGGCGGAGCGGCGCAAAAGCGAGTGAGGGCCACCTCTGGCTGGAGCCATTCGGTGCGGCCTGCAGCTGTCGCAGTTTGATGCGGAGGTGGAATCCGAAATTCGGACCCCCGGGTTTGCTCCTCTAAGGCGCTGTACAAGTCTCGGGT